GAGCATGTGAAGGCAGGGTGAGAGAGAAGGGGGAGGCGCACTGTGACATATTCAAAGGCTACTTTTCAGTCAGGCCTGGGAGAGCAGTTTTCTTCACAAACTTCACTTACAATGCCTTCCCAAAACAGCTCCTTCAGAACTTGGCACCGGACGGTCCTTTTAGTGGGTGTCCTGGTGCTGCTAGTGTCACTTGTTGCTGTTATTGTGTTGGCTGCTATCCTGACACCAGGAAAGGAGGACACCAGCTCAACCCTGCTGCAGTGGAAGGGCAGAGGGACCACTAAAAATCTGCGAGAAGTCGTTCTTGGGAGATGTTACAACTACATCACAACAGTGAACCCTGAGCTGGGGTGAGTAATGAATACTATGCTGCATAATATGCTAGAATGGTGGGGCAGAGAGCCTGTTACTATCTCCACTGAAACATGGGTATTTAGCTTTTCAACAGAACAGAAAGGAGGGCTGATTACGAGTGTTTTAAGCCAGACTTTAAATTGGCCATATTCCACCAAACAATTTTTTAGAGCAAAACGCTTTATTGAATGAGTGTGAAGCAACAGTAACCCTGGGCTAGATTCCACCCACAAATATGTAAGTAAGTGAAGCTTCATCAGAAGTCTCAGAAGTAAACATCTAAACCGGGGTGGGCAATTATTTGGGCTGAAGGGCTACTTCAGGAGTTTTGGTGTGCTGTTGTGGACCTGAGGGCGGGGAGGGTTGACCCAGCCTCAGCCCTCTCATCACAGCTGTTTATACCACCTGGTACAGCAGGGGGGTAAGAAAGTTGCTAATTGATCCCATCCAGCCCCGGGCCTGTCCACTCCGCACCCACCGCCAGGGGTGCTGGAGGGACCCGGCAGGTGGGGTCTCCATGGAGACCAGTCCAAGAACCCCATGGGAAGGGTGCGCTCATCTGGGCAGATGAGATGGGGCCACCAGCAGGTGGGGAGCACCTTCTAGGAACAGGATGGTGGGCAGGGCCAGGGCTGGAAATGTAGGGTGATGATTGGGGTGACAGTGTGGGGCTGAGGGCGAGCTGCAACCCACTCCCCATGTGTCCCTGAAAGCACAGGACAAAGAACCAGTGTCTCTTGCAGGGATGGGCAGGGAGCGGATCACACCTGTTCCCTGGGTCCCATCCCCATGCAGTCATTGCCCTGCAATACTGACCCTGGCCCTGCATGCCTGTCTTGCTCCAGATGCCACTCCCTGCGTACCTGGGGCCACATCCCATCTACCTGGCTGAGTGTGCCCTGCCCATGGGTGTCCCAGGCCGGTCTCCTTGGAGACTCCACCTGCTCTGTCCAGCACCCCCGGCAGTAGGTGTGGGGTGGACAGACCAGGGTGCCTGGGCAGTAGGGCCTGGTTTGGCAGCAGAGACACTAGCAGTAGCATCCAGAAGTGTAAATGCAGAGTGAACTGCCACTTCAAAGTCAACTGGGAAGCCAAGTCCAGCCACTGCACTGCCCATGCCCCATGGATTACAGCTCCTGGCTTGCCTGAGAGCCTCACGCAGGGATAGGACAGGCTGTGCTCTATGCCAGGTGGCACCTCTGCACCTGGGAGCAACAGGACTGGATGCACACACCATGGGCCCGGGTTGCCCCTTGTGCCTGGGCTAGGCATGGCCAAGAGACCTGTCATGGGTCAAACAGAATCACATGGTAGGCCAGATCTGGCCTGTGGACCATATTTTGCCCATCCTAATCTAAGATGAATGTTACATCTCCTGCTGATATGAAAACTTTTTTTTTCAAGTGATCTCTAGCCTGTTCTTCCCTACAACCACCACCGACTATGCCAGCAATGCGCAAGGTCCCACCCCTCTGGTCCTTCCACACCATTGAACAGTAGGAGGAGGCAGCTGCAAAGGTCCATGAGTTATAAGTTAACCACCTGTGAAACACATGTGGCCCATGGGTCACATGCTGGCTCCTTACAGATTGTATGTATTCAGTGAGCCACTAGTTGGGCAGGCCTGGATTACTACATTGTGGCTCTGGCTTGCAAACGAACAACAGCTTCATGACAACTATTACATAGTGCATTCACTCTTCATAATTCATTTTGTCACTAGTCACAGAAATCACATAGTATTGTTTCTACTATCTGATATGATACCTCTGACCTACAGAGCTGTCAGGATGGTCACACAAATACTTCTGCCAGTAATAACTGGCACATAATACTTTTTCTTACTGAAGAGAGCATCCTTGCACAAACATTTTGAGGGATACAGACTTCAAATTCCATAGCAAGCAAGATGAGTGTCAGTCTCCTCAAATCATTTGTTTGCAGTATCACGCTTATTTCTAGGTTTTTTGTTTTGTTTTTTTTAAATAGAGAGTGCATGTGTGTGTATGTGTATGTGTGGAACAAGGCTTGAGAAGGGATTTGTCTGCCTGGGATATGGTAATGTCTAGTTGGACGGTTGCATTACAGCCTCCTCTATTGTTTGTACTCTGACAGCATCTCCTCCTGCCACAAGGTCAGATTTAAGCCAACAGTCTGGCAATCTGACTCCTGGTCCTAGTCATCTAGTCCAACCCTCAGGAAAATGAAACTCTTCTTTGTTTACTATTGAAAAAAACTCTCAGGGTGTGTCCAGATGAGAGCGCACATGTGTTTTGCAGCATCTCAAAGCCCTTTGAGATGCTCCAAGAGGCACGTGTGGAAAAGAGAAAAGGATATCCAGGGGTCCAAAAAAAAAAAAAAAAAAAAAAAACAGTGAAAAAAAGCAGAGCAGGGCACTGTCCCAGACCATGCACTGAGGCAACTGGAGGGTGGTTCCTCCACAGAGACCCTCTGGTAGCAGCCAGAGCATCTCTATGGTTGGCCTTCACCCTGGTTCTGAAGCACACTGCAGGGAGGTAGACCCAGGCTCCAGTGCCAGTAAGTAGGGGGGACCCCATCAGCCCTGCCCACTCCCACAGCCCCCCTGGGGGCTCCCCATCAAACCAGAGAGGTCCATAAGCCTGGAGTCCACACATGGTTATTATATTTGGGGTCAGACTCGATCTGCTAAGGTCCCTTCTGACCCAAACATCTATGAACCCATGCTGGCACAGTAGGCCAGGCGATGTGCCGGATTTCGGATTCTCAGGGTGCCAGTTGCTCTGAGAACCCCCTCAGGCAGGTCTGCTGACTAAGGTGTCCCATGGAGGGGTGTGTGCCTCACCCTCACCACCCAAAAATGTACTCCAAACCCAATAAACACATTGTTTTCTTTATTGCATGCAACCATATATAGAAAAGAAATGATTAATAAAAGAAGATATATAAAAATCATTAGTTAATAAAACCAACAATTTGAATAAAATTTACAACAGCAACATTAGGTGAATAATTCCAACACACTGGGTGGTCCCACTTCTATCAAACAACCTCAAAGATTACATACACTTGGTTATAACTCTTTAAAACAGTTTCCCCCCATAACCCAGGTTGATTTCCCTCTGGTCACAATCTCCTTCCCATAACAATACATGACAACACAGCTTTAATTATGAACCACCACTAGATGGCAGAGGCAAGGGTTCTGCTGCTTTGGTGAAAGTGGACTCCTTAGTCTTTCTTGGTAACTCAGCAAAAACAAGTCTCATAGATTCATAGATTTAGGGTCGGAAGGGACCTAGTAGATCTTCTAGCCCGACCCCCCACCAGGGCGGGAGAACAACAAAACCCCAAAACAAGAAACGGGACTCAAATGAGTCCAGCCAGGTAGGCATCCAGCCTCTTCTTAAAGACCCCCAGGGTAGGGGCCAGCACCACTTCCCTTGGAAGTTGGTTCCAGCTCCTAGC